TATTCTAGTCGCAACTAGGGAGCATTGAACCCGTAATAAGCAAGTAACTCCTCTCATGTTCTCTTTTGAATCTAGAGCTTTTGTCCGAGCCATCCTGCCATGCTCTTCCCCCTAAGACACTTCAACGTAAGTCGCTGCATCCAGATAACTCCATTAATGATAATATTATCAACAACACGAAAATTTCTCAAACCGTCTTGAATTATGTCGTGCCTTTTAGGGGCGGTCTTCCACCGGGCTCGGGCTAGTTTACATCTTGGCCAGGATCCACCAAGAACTCGACCTCCTCCAAACTTCTACTGACGGAATAGTAACCAAATCTCGTCGAAATGCTTACTAGAGCCTTCGACAAAGGCTGAAGCATCAAGTCTTCGGTATCGAGTTCCTCGCCATATATTCGGCGCCCACAGGTAGGGATAAGTTAGCGACGTGGCGTCACCGGAGGGCTGGAAAGTCTTAGAGTTTCTGAGATGACGAGATTGGAAGAAGCCCTAAGGATAGGCTACAGTGAAAGAATAAAAGTGAAGATGTTAGTACAATACGGTATACCCGCTTAAATGAAACAGTAACAGAACATATTCAAATTAGCGATACGATTACAATAATATAATTTCATTCATCCATCCACCTACTCTAACTCTCCTGGTGCCTCATGTAAAAACGCCGAGGGAACATTACGTAAGTAGGAGACTAATGCCCCAATAGGAGAGAAACAATAGTGGCTTCTATGTCTATCCTTTTTTCTCAAACATGAGAGCAAATTAAGTCAGCTCAAAAATTACAATAATCTTAAGCCTCCCAGTGAATTTCGACCAAAATTTTCTACACGCCTGGTTATCGAAAAACTTATTCAATATCCGACGAACATTAACCACGCGAACTGTGATTAGGCGTGTTGGTGTCAAGCAAATCATTTTCTGCCTTGAGCGTAACAGATTTCTAGACTCTACTTGAAATATTAGCCAGAACAGTGTACCACTACCGTTACTAATCATCAAGCGACAGCAGATTCTAACATCTGGAATGCAGCAAACATCTTTACAGATGAAAGGACAGGAATAAGCCAAAGAGGAACACTTTCCAGTATCCACAAAAACCTTAACGATGCTCAAATTAGTTTAGCCATGCAGTCAAGAAGTGAGCACATTGGGTTCAACTCTTTCCTGCACCGAAGATATGTTCCCGGAATAGACAGCCCACGATGCTAATGTGGATATCCGTCCCAGAACGTCAAGTATATGATCATGACTTGCTCCAACTAAGCCAAAGGGAGAGGGGAGATACTGAGAAGGGCAGAGTCTCGGTCATTCGAAGCGATGATGAATAACCCGAAAGATGTTGCAAGAATTACAAAGTGGATCCAGCAGTAAGGAAGGCTAGAGCAGTTTCGACTGACGCTTCAAGCCGAGGCCACGATGAGAGAGAGAGAGGAAAGTGGGAGAAAGATGATCTCCTGGCAGTAACAGAGAAGTTGACGGTATCCGCACTGGACATAACAGTGTTGGTGCACTTCTTGTAGGTAACAAAACTTTAAAGTGTATATAAATTGAAAATGCGAGGGGAATTTTAGCATGGAGATTTCCTCCTATTTAAAAATTGGAGTTCGTAGACACCTGCATAGGTCTTAAGGCGCTAAATCGGGCTAAATAAAATCAAATTCAAAGTGTACCACTACCGCATCTGATCCTGGACGAGGTTTCCACATTTTCGAGTTTGAGTAACTAACTTTTGCTTCATGATCGAGAGTATAATCTGCTCCAAGGCTCGGCGTTGCATCAGCTGCGATGTAAGCGTTAACAATTGGACTTGACAGTGCTATGGTGTGCCATCTGGTCAAGTCTCTTTCTCATTCAAATCGTTGCAAGGTCCAAACAAATTCAGCGATCATTGGGCCATAATCATTGTGTAGATACTTTGGCCTCGGCATCTATATTCGCTTTAAATAGAGGCCAGATTCCTAGCACGAGATTTTTGGTTGAGGCGATAAAATTGCATTCTAGTTTGTGAAATGCTTTTAGTTGCATGATCATTCGGCACCAAATAGTCGGATGATGAACACCGTTGAAAGAGCTTGACCAAGATAGTGATAGAGTCGACTTTAATTATACCTGTCATATGCCAACCAAGATGAAAAATCATAAAGATGACAGTAAAAAATCTGGAGGCAAGATGGGAAATTTTTGTTGAACGCTGGCACGCCAGTGAAGAAATACTTGGTGACACCATACAAATAACTTCTTGTTATTGTAAAGTAGCACGGGAAAAGCAGAGTCTAGGATCAATTTCATCTATATTCTACAATATATGATCGTCAGTAAAGCCGAATTCTTCAACTACCAGCGGTGTCAGTGTAAATGCTAAATTTACTTTAAATATCTTGGACAGCCAAGAAGAATTGTATCTGAATCAGGGGTTGAAGCATGTAGGCACATTCAAAACTGACGACTTCTCATCAAAATCGGTCCCACCATTCTCATGCGAGTCTTCTAACTCAACCCTACCAGATACCACCTCGCCTCGGCGAACGATAAAGGAGTTGTTCCAATTGCGAACGGGAGATTTCTTCATCATAAATACTCATCTCCCACTACAAAATTACGACGCTACTTACACCTGATGTGAAGAGAATAACTCACACGCAAACCTCTGGGTCTGGCTTACGGGGGAATACTGCTCTAGGCTATCATACAACAATCACGCTCTGTAAAAACTTTCTGAAATTTCAGCACGATATTCGGGAAGGAGGCTAGAAAGGCAGAGGTTGAGTTTCCCACAGTACTTACAAGTCTGCAGCGCCTAGCTAGCCGGTCTCTTCGAACGCTTCAGAAGGGTCACTATGTCTTCGGATTTAGTCCTAATGTCGGTATTAGGAGAGCTCCGCAACCAGTGGTTTTTGCGATTTTCCCCGGCTGCCATACACCCGCAAATGGCCATCGTTTCGTTGGCTGGAGAGGGGAGAGAATGAATGGTAAAGAGCTCCTCTAATTGTATGATCGAATGAAGACTTGTGAGGGGTGGTACTGTTTGATGGGAGCTGTATGGGAGGCATAGGAGGGGATATACTACTGGTATAAGTATCCTTGGCCTATCGGAAGAGAGGACCTACATGTCCTATATATTCTAAGACTAAGAAAGGGCAATAATTACAGTAGAAATGCTTTTTGTAAGACTAAGATGAGACGAAATAGAATTAATTTTCCCTGCTGAATCCAAGTTTGTGAAGGACTTCTAGAATCTACATAGAAAACTCTAGACAGTCAACACAATTTTATTTAACAAATCTCAAATTAATCTCACATCGACATTAAGGGTATCTCTTAACTTTATTCGGTTAAAATTATGTAGAAGAATCAAGCGTCATATGCCTAGAGTCCAAGCGTAGTAGAGCCATAGATAGTTATATAATTCTCTCCTGGAGGTTTATCAGATGGAAGGAGTTTTTTAATCAACAGACACAACTGGATAGTTTAGAAGACTTAAATAAGAGCCCGATTCACGTAATCCCCTCACCTCCGTCACCATCATGAGATACAACTGGGCCAGGTTACTCTGTAAACAAATCCCTCCATTGGTCCTAATTAGAATCTAATCACGACTCAATTTACTTGAGCTACTTGTCAATGTTATGGATAGGCAGAGGCTGAGAAAATGGGATGAGTTAGTATTCTTGAGTCACCATCTAACTGCTGCAACCCAGTTACATGGTTCCTCATCGGTGAAAAATAAGCCACTTGAGCTTGGAGTTTTACCGACAGAAACATATCCACCATTGACTTGGATCTAGAGTATCAGAAAGGAGAACAATAATACGTCATAAGAAATTATCTGCTGCGTGTTGTTGAGGCGGCCTTAATGTGTAACGCAACCTGGGACGGAATAGTCAATGATTGATTTCCGGCTTAGTATGGAGCTGTCCTATACATAGATTACGGTTGCAACAGTATTTTCTTGCTTAAAATTTGCTCAGCGACAAGCAGCCAGATGAGCTATTATGACAACTTGAGATTTGGGCTGTGCGTTTGAATATGGCATTAAGGCAACATACGTAGATTGTCCGCTAACCGTCTTTCTATCCACAAGGCTCAAAAGCTTGATTTCAGTCCTTTCCTTAAGTATAAGGCCCGTGCATTTTTAACCTAACTGCAAGCCCGACGCTCTGCTAGATCTCCTATCTCTTCCTGACACAATCTTTTCCAAAACACTGTTACCCATGCACTCTGGCAGCCAGACTCATGAACGGTTGCATTTCACTGCTTGATCGGATCGCTGAACCGTGTGTAGTGACCGCGGCTTTTCACAACGAATTCGCCATGTGTTTTTCCGCGCCGCAATTATACAAGCTTACCCCGCCGAGACCTAGCCAATATTGTGATTGCCCAGATACCACCCTCGACATCGTGGATCTTCACATCTGCTTAACTATTATGAATATGGATCGGCTCGGGATACAACCAGGCAGTCTGTGCTCACTCAAATCATATAAGCAATTAAACGAATAATCTTCAGACATCATTCTTGTCCCCCGATGAGGACAAGTGATTGGACTCAGCTGCCTTTAAGCTAGCAATCCGTCAACGTCTGGGGTGCTTGCCCTTAAGGAAGAAACCATGCATAGCTCGAGCCACCGCACCCGCCGAGTAATTTCCCGCTCACAGGTCCGGAATTTCCCAGCCCCTACCACCTGGACTGGCCTGGGCCTGTACTCAAGCGGATCTAAAAGTGGGTCTATTTTGATGCCAGAACAGGGGAAAGGTCAAAACAAAGAATCGCCAGGTCGAGTTAATGAGTGGAATTATATAGACGATAACTCCTTGCAAGTATCAGTTTTCATATCAATCACACTCATTTCTCTCGCAACCTGTAAATACAACATTCACTAGAATCAAGCTTACCCAAGTCTCTCATTACCACAAGTCTAGATTATGAAATATCAAATGCAATAGCATCAATACCCAATTCTTAAAATTATCTGTGCCATATAACGCTCTTTTTATTCAAGGATGAAATTTTCTGGCATTCTTTCCAGTTGTGGTGGCGCTGTACTACTCTTTTCTTTCTCCGATGCAAAAACGCATATTCACAACTATCATTCACACAGTCAATTTCATCGTCTAGATCAAAGGCACGGAAATTCCACCTCAAACTCCACACGAGGAGGAAACTCTCTTCATGGAGGCCTCCAAAAAGGCTCTTCAAGCTGTCAATTTCCCAAAGACGCAGGGCTAGTGGCTATCACACCAGAATCGAAAAATGCTGGCTGGGCTATGTCCCCTGACGAGAGCTGTAGCTCAGGGAGTTATTGCCCGTATGCTTGTCCATCAGGACAGGTAATGGCACAATGGAACCCACAAGCTACCTCATATACCTATCCACAATCTATGGTAAGATCAATTACTATCAAGCCGCGACAAAGCTAATTAAATAGGATGGCGGATTATATTGTGACCGCGATGGCCAGGTCAAAAAACCCTTTCCAGAAAAACCTTACTGTGTACCTGGTACTGGTGGAGTTGTAGCTCACAACAAGGTTGGAAAAGGCGTTTCATTTTGCCAAACAGTTCTACCAGGAAATGAGGCCATGTTGATTCCCACCCATGTTGAAGAGATGGAAAATCTAGCTGTTCCGGGGACAAATTACTGGTGTAAAAGTGCTGCACAGTAAGTTGACGAGTAAATGTATACGAATAAAATCGGCTAACATATCAAGCTATTATATAAATCCTCCTGGTGTCGCAGCCGAGGATGCTTGCGTATGGGGAGATGGATCCAAGCCAATTGGAAACTGGTCACCATACGTCGCAGGAGCTAATACAGATACTAGTGGACAGACTTTTGTTAAGGTCGGCTGGAATCCAATATACACCGGATCATCATTATCCAAAACCCCACCTAGCTTTGGAGTCAAGATTGTGTGCGAAAGTGGTGGGTGCAATGGAACACCTTGTGGAATTGATCCATCTGCGCACGGTGTGGGTAGTGTTCAGAGCGCCAATGAGGCGACAGGTGCTGGGGGAGCTAACTTCTGCGTCGTGACCGTTCCTAAGGGTGGCAAAGCGAATATCGAAGTGTTTGGTTTTGACGGAAAGCCTGTAAAATCTGACGTTGGTTCAGAACACGACGATAACGACAAGAGTGATGGATCAGCGTCCAAACCTTCACAGTCGCCCAACCCAACAGCTGACGTCTCAAAAGATAAACCAAATAATGACACAGAACCTAGCAATGAACAGGGGAAAGATAAAGATCATACAGAAAATACAGATAATGAAAAAAAAGACAGTCAAGAGAATAGTGGGAACCAGGCAAATACTAATGAGGCTATCAAGATTTCAGCATCAAACGACAAAAGCTCATCTAGTAGCGTAACTGTCCCCAGCACTCTCGCCAGTCCAACAGTTGTTCCCATCCCAGAAGCGAACAGCAATCCAGGACCTGAGATAAAAGGAACCGAAGATAATCAGATGAACAATGGCAGTAATATGGGCTCCACTTCTACTGCAAGCGGCGCATCCGATGCTAACCATCTGGGTGAGATGGAAAATGGCCCACTAAGCGAAGCTCCAAAAGTGGCTGCACCCCCAGCACCACCAACCGAACAAGTTGACTATAAACCTATGTCTCCCGTAGATCCATCTTTAAAAAGTTCAACTAACAACGATCAATCTTCACCAAGCTCCAGTTCTGTCTCCTTGGATAATCCAGCTGAGGTACACGAAGCATCACTCACACCCCATGGTGCCAAAACAGCATACCAAGCTATGCATCAGAACGACGACGATTCTCTGGATGATGGTGACTCTAACAGTAATCCAGGAGGTCAGGATCCGGATAATACAGGTACCACAAATAAGGACTCTGGCTCATCGAGTCTCTTAAATTCCTGCAATTTGTTCACCAGCTTGGTACCATTTTATATCGCCTTACTTCTATGAAAATATTATGTGTTTGCAGGGCAAATATAAACTTAATGCCAAAAATCGATGTAACAAATATGTGTAGAATTTAAAGAAAATTTAGCAGTTACTTCCCTATTTCCATATGTATATTGCTCGGAGAAGAGCACCACAACTAGTATTTCCAACTTCATTTAAAAGTCTTTAAATTATGGAAATATAGAAATGTAGTTTCTATAGATAGCTGAAACAAAGAGGATTCTTAGAAATGTAATTCTACTTCAATTTAAGATGCGCCCGATACCTGCATGCATATTTTTTGGACCTAGGGCGAATCTGATGGGACTTTTCGGTCATCGTGAAAGTAGTCCACTGCCCGTGAAATTTGAGTTCTTAAATCTGTCCATTGATGCGTCAATTTTTCACGATGCGCATCACCTCGGCCAACTCCAAAGCGCGCAAGCCTTGATGTCGGAACAGATGCTCTGAGAAGCCCGAGGTCTGTTTTATGCCTTAGGCATATAAATGGAAACAGATGGCATTAATGCTTCGGCGGTGCCGACAGATCCGACAAGTACACACTATAACCAATCACCATTTCTGCAGTAGTAACCCCATTCTCATTACCTGTGATATCATAGGTATCAATAATGTCATACTAACACTTAGCACAGTGAAATTTTCCACAACAGGCACTGTATCCAAATAACTATTCTTTACTCCGATTTAAAAAAATAACTTCCCTAGCGATGTAGAATAGATCATTCATTTGTGAGCGATAACATAAATTGTGACATTGGATGGCACAGTGTTACACCAGTCAGGCCATTCTCCCAGGTAGATACTTGGTAGCTTGAACACCTAACTCGTTTGAGACAGGAGAGAGCTGGTTCGAATCCAGTAAAACCCACACACCACTCTCTCTCGCGGTGATATTGTATTTGTGGGATGATGAAAGCACACTCGGATAACCACAGGTTATTCACTCTTTCTCCTGTAGAAGGTATGCACGGGAGAGGTTATACGCCGTAAGGGTTAACCTCTAGTGGCATCTGCAAGTGAAATCTGAGTGTTAGTGTTCTAAACGTCAGATTGAGTCATCCTAATTGAAGTACGTATCTTCCGATAAAATCTGCATGGTCCTCATAGCGCCAGAAATAGGGCTCTAGGTCACGAATGCTCAAGCCTTCCACTAGACATCTACCTCAAACAAATGAGAGTTCAACACATCAGGCTTTAGGAAGTACAACCTATCAAGCAGACGATTCTATCCGCATGTAGTAAAATATCGCAGGCTTATAGTCTGAGCGAGAATAGCCACGCCAAGAATCGAAGCCGAGACACTAACGAGTGGACCAAAATCTGCAGCAACGAAAAGGTGAGGCATAGAAAAAGAGGAGTGGGTAAGATAGCAGCATTCCGGAAGTAGGAAAGCGCATGGAAAAATTTTAAGGAAAAGCGACTATCTTGTCATCAGGCGTCTGCAGACCCAGAATATTGGAAAGCAGCAAGTACCATCACCGACAAGAGAACAGGCAGGAAAAGAATCACCTACAGAAATACACCCCCTAACATCCACCGAAGCCTGAGCAAGGCCCAAAGCAGTATTGCAATGTAGATGAGAGGTGAGCATATCGGCTTCAACTCTTATCTATAAAGAGGAAAGGTCCCTGGAGTGGCAAATCCAAAATGCCAGTGTGGATATTCGTCACAAAACGTGAAATATATGGTCATGGCTTGTCCTTAATGGGCTAAGGGAAGAGGAGAGGTACTGCGACGGGCAAAAGATAGGTCTTTTGAAGCTATGATAAATAACCCGGATGACATGAAGAGGATTACTGAGTGGATACTTAGTAACGGTTGGCCTCAAAAGTTCCGGCTTGCAGAAGAAGTTGAGATAGCAGTGGGTGAAAGGATTACGCGATCGGGAAAAGGATAGTATGGTTTTCACACTGGATGAACAGCATAAACGCACTTCCTGTAGGACACCTCAGAAAACCAGTAGACACGAGACAGGAAGGTTTTGGGTATCAAGTTTCTAGGGGGTATCTGGAATGATAGAAGTGAACGTTGACCGTCAAGTCAATACTGTACGAATCGTAAGATATTGGGGATTTAAGGATCAGACATAAAAGGTTAGGATTAGTGAGGTTTTTGGTTTTACTGAACTTATATTTTGGTTATTAAAAGTGTTTTAGAGTTTAATCCACATCTAATTGTCTATCTATGTTCTACCTCGCTTGGGTAGAAACATTATGTTCTGATTACGTGATGGAATAACATTCACACCACTGAGATCATTACCAGCCGAGACCTCACCAAAGCTGGTAGCGATCGAAGATGAGTAGTCTTCGTCTACTCCGCACTGCGTGTAGTTCGGTCTGGTATGTCTAGATCTTAACATGGGAGATTTTCACCGAGTTGGTTTCCTCCCTCGTATGTATTGTAGCTAGATATACCTGAACGGGCTAAGTCAAATCAAATGACAAACCCGTGTATCCAAATCACATGTGGGAGGGCGAAGGCTGAACACCTGTTAGTGGTGCCCTCTACGAACATGGGAGCGAAATGTTCTCCCAGAGCCGAAATTCAGTCACGAAAAAGGGTGGGATGAATTTGTTTTTGATGGATTTTCGACTTGAAGGAGTTGCACTTGATATTTTGGTCGAAAAATCGGTCGGCAGAGGTTTCACAGCCGGAACAAAGTTGAACAAAAACTCATCACCACCAACATATGGTTCACGAATGGATTTAGGTCTGTCTGGGGGTCGTATTCAAACATCCAACATCTCTCAAACTCCTTTTATATTTGCGACGAAGCATTTCTCAGTCGATCCTATACCTGCGACCCACTTCCATACTCGTCCAATCACCTACCTACACACGCCCTAATGAGGAAAGTCATGATGGAAACGGGACGTGTACAAAGGAGGAAGAAGAAGGAAGATTTACCGAGGGGATTACACAAATCCCCAATGACGAAAACAAGCCAACGTTACGATATGAAGGTGCAAGGCTAGAGCAAAGATGAGATCTTGGACGGCATTTATATTTCAGAGTCAATGAGGATGTCAAGGGCTCGGGCGCATGGTGGCCGAGGCTGAGGAGGAAATTGCACTACGGCGTGTATACAGCGGGTTTCTGGACGGTTAGGCTTGGTATGATTCAACACATAAGTGAAGTCTGAGGTGGTCCGGTCATTAAAGTGGGATGAGGTAGATGTACTTAATGGTAGTTAAACTGATCTGGCCCGACCCCGCTCGTGCTTAAGCTCCAGTAGGAGTGCAACGGTACTCATGTAACCTGGCACGTTAATGAACAAAACAAATCGCATGAGCGCAGGCGTAACTATAAAAATCACCATGGCTGGATGGTGCAGTGGTACAGCGTCTTCGCCGGTCTGCCAAGTAAAGTCTGGATAGTTTGGACACGTACCCCACTCGAGACAGTAGATCGCGAGTTCAAATCCGGCAAAAGATAACAACATTTCTAGCAGCGCTGGTATAAACGGATGACGAAGGCATGCTTGGATAATCAAAGGTTTCGAATTTTCCTTTGGTGGGAATTTACGGAGGATGGTCGATTGTTTATGTGAGCGAACATACCTCGTTGTGGTATTTGCGAATGAAATCCAGAGTATGAGTGTATCTAACGTCAAAAGAGTCATCCAACATGTACACATAGCACCGGTAATGTGTCATAGATATATAGCTGCATACACATTAAACGATTTATGTAAACGTTATTGGCTTAATCTCGTAATGTAACTAGATCACTGAGGTTCTCTACATTTTGGTATAAATAGGCAGAGCACCATTCCTATGAATATACGCGTTCGGATCATCTGCAATATCTGCATAACTCCCAGACCCAAACCCCAGACTCCGTCATCCTCATGTGTCACATGACTGTATGACAAGAGCTGACTATGCTCAGATAGGCATCTGCTCATAATTTGAAATAAAAGATATCACATGACAACTTAGTCAGCGACTGGGGTCGTCGAACCTCTTTATTTCATACGTAGCTAGAGAGTAGAATAAAGAGATCAATATAGATTTTACCTGTAGAGCCTCGTACAGCTGCACAATTGAAGATTACCGACACTGATCAGTCGTCAATTTAAGACTACAGACCAGCTAAGTTCGAAGACTTAGATCTTGTCTGAGCCTTCCCTCAGTTCGCCTATGTACGATTTAGCGGGGGAGATAACTTAACAATTCTAACCAATAAGCTCTCTACTCCGTCTTGCCTCGGTTAGCCACAGCAACACCTCACGTTTTTTCCCCAAGCTAAGATATATCTTGTGACTCAGTTTTCCGAAATTTCATCGTCCCAAGACGCTTAGATGACCCTCGGTAGGCGTAAAATTCCCACGACACTCGTGTCCCCTGCTCGAGTTGTCTCGCGCGCAGCCAAACGTGCGAAGTCTCGCCCTGCTCCCAACTGTACAGAAGGAAGTTACCCTAGCAGCCGCAGCTGAGAAGCAACAATCTCCAGCTGGCCCCACAATCAGAGCCGCCCGCAAGTTCTACTTACGCAAATGCTGCGAAGAAGAACTTTACCGCACCTTTACACCCTCTAAATACTGCGCCCAAGGTTGCCAGTTCAAAGAATAAACATATGCCGAACTCTAGAGTTATGATACGCCTAACGCCCGACCACCTTCTGAGATTCCAAGATTCTCTTCTGGTCCGTACAAAGCTGAGAAGATTTCTCGAAAAACCGCAACTAATCAAGGACATCAGGTCGGTACCTTCTGGGATAGCCCTCGTGGCCCCATCATCCGATCAAGCCCCCGAACTCATGCAAGTAGCCCTTGCTCTACAGCCCGCTACAGGAGTTGTGCCTATCGAAAGACAGGAAAAACGAGAGAACTTTCTCCTTAGCCCAGTCCCCAAATATGGGTACAATGCTTCCGGATCTCCCGAAGCCTTTTCCGATGCGGATATCCGGGAAGAACTTGCAGCGGCAAAAATTGACACAAAATTGATCTTTTCCATCAGCTGGACACGTAACTCTCTGGCATCGCCAGAATG